GAAGCAGAATGCATAATGGAATGATTTTGGCTGGCTCCACTCTTCACACAAAGGATTGTGATTTATGTGAAAAGGATATGTTTTATTGACAAACCTGTTTATATTTTTAGGCCCACTCTGCAATTTCCTCTAGCTCTACGGAACTTTTAAGGATCTTTCGGGCTATTTGTTTTGGTTTTCCAGCCTACAACTTTACTCTCATAGCTTTCATTAGCATTGTTTCCAGATGCAGCACAGTAGCTTTTTAACCATTGTGTGGTGTTCATATTTTTGTTACTCAGCCAGTGGACCCGCTGCCTTTTTGGGCTTCAATTCAACACAATCAAACTATTTTATGTTAAAATACTCAACAGATGTTTACTTCATCTCAATTACAAGCAATATAAACAGCATATATGGTTAATATTTGCCCTTTTACATTTGTTGGATCACATTAATGAATTAAAGTGCTACTCGTTTTTTTGCCCGCTGACCGGCTGGTCCTGTGGCTCGTCTTTTTTTTGCAACTAGCTGATGCTCAATCTCATCCTCTTCTTCAAAGTCACTGTTAGAGTCAGAATTCTCAGAAATGTGATCCACAGCTACAGTGTGAGAGCAGACAGGTGTTGGTGCTTGAATGTATCAACAATGTTGCAACCTTGTGCAGGAATGGCAGGGGCAGAAACTCAAAAGTCTCACACACACACACACACACACTTTTGTTAGCCCCGGAACATACAGGGTGTTCCGGGGCTAACAAAAGTGTGTGTGTGTGTGTGTGTGTGAGACTTTTGAGTTTCTGCCCCTGCCATTCCTGCACAAGGTTGCAACATTGTTGATGTCAACGACGCTGTACAATAGAATAAAGGTTTCACAAATCTCAAACTGGGTTATAAAGAATCTTTAGACTCTGGGATAATCCAGTCCAGATTTGATGAGTGTAGGTCTAGTGGTTTCAGATCAGGACCTGCTGGTCTAATGTGGTCAGGATGCGAAAAAAGCACTGAAATCTCCCTTTTTTGTATTTTCACAAATAGAATAAAAGTTTCACAAATCTCAAACTGGGTTATAAAGAATCTTTAGACTTTCTGGGATAATCCAGTCCAAATAAATCGGCTATGCAGCGATTTAAGAGGTTCAAACACGGAGGATTGTTCGCTCAGCGCTGTAAATTAAATGTCCCTTAACTTTCCCCTTAACTGCCGAATCGGATGCTCTGAATCGGAAGCCAACTTCAGCATCGTCAGTAGTCATTGATATGTTCTTCACAGAAAATGAGCCAAGGCCATTGAGTTTGGGTTTGAAAAAATTATTTATCATATCATTTTTCTTTAGCTAAATAATGAAAACGAGTCCCACAGACCCGAATACCATACAAAGGTTAAACAAACTTTGGATTGGTGACCTGATTTAGTATGTTATATTCTGCTTCCTTTAAGTCAGACTTCTCATTTTCCATCGTAGATATGAGTATGATGGAGAAAAAGCACCCTCGAAACTTCTCTCTGGACGTCCACCCATACATGCTGACCATTCGTAAGCCCAAGGTGGATGTAGCATCAGCCGAGCCTCTGCCCCCAGTGCTCAACCTGGATACAGTTTACCTTGAAGGCACACACACTATCGTTCATGTGTCAGGTTCAATTACAGGTAAGCTTGAACTCTACTTTACTCTAGCTTTTGCTGGTCCAGGGCCAGAATTTGCCATATTTTACTCAAACTGTTTGGGTTCAAGAAAAAAAAGCATGCAGCATCCCATCTCATCTAGCTGTACCTTGCATATACACCTTGGGGTGGCAGTAGCTCAGTCTGTGGGGACTTGGCCTCGACCAAAAATACTGGTGTTGACTGGTAACTGGAGAGGTGCCAATCTACCTCCTGGTAACTGCTGAGGCAACAAACCCCCAACTGCCCCCATGGCGCCGGAAAAAACATGGCAGACTCTTCGCTCTGACATATCTTCATAAAAAAAGTGCATGCCTGCATTCTTTTTCTTCTTAAATGTAACCCACTTTGTGTTGCTCACCTGATTTCAGAAAATGGCTTTGCCAAAAGGATTTTCATTTACATTTGAGACTGACTTTTTCCTCTCTCCCTCTACCCTGTCCAATATTTCCTTCTTGTCTTTCAGAAACTAAGATTTGCTCTCCAAAATCAACCAACACTGCCTTTTCTACGATGACCTTGCCCACCAATTCTTACGTTAATGGTGTGAGCCCAAACCCTCCCTCCAGTGAGGACCCCCTCAGTCCCAAGTCTTCTCCAACCCCTCTCCCTCTTCCTCCGCCTACACCTCCGAGGGAGCCTCTCCCCCAGGCGGAGAACCCTGAGTGTCCACCACCAGCCCTGACCAGAGCCCCTACACACCAGCTGATGAGCATACATCATACTCTGTTTGAGGGAGAAGAGGATGAAGAACAACGCAGGGACAGACTGGCAGAGAGACCCGGGGAGCTCATCGCTGCTGGGGAATGTTGAAGGAGGAGAAGAAGAGGGACGCTGAACAAGATTCCTCTAGCCCACTCTACACTGCGCACATGACCACCATGTCAACCACTTCCTATTGACAGTCACCTCTACTCTTAAAATCAACTCACACTCTTCTGTGATGGGAGGATTAGACAGTGAGGACACGACATGGAAACTCCGGTAGTCCTAAAAGAGAAATGACCGAGATGGGAAAATTATTCAGAGGGGATAATATAAACGTTTGTTTGTAATTGATAATGCTGACCAGAGTACTGCTGTAGGAAATGATGTCACATTCATGTCTCAGGATGACTGTGTACAGCTAAACATCCTCAAATGAAACCAGCAGAGGTATAATTCAACAGGGTGCTAAAGTGCAGGATCAAACAGCTATATTAAAAAGGTTTAATGAAAGGATAAGCAACAATGAGAGGTGAGTGAGCTTTCAAAAAAATAAATGAAAAAAGACACACACCTTAAAAGAAGACGGCATTACAGCTTCAAACTAAAATGTATTTTAAACACATAGATATAGCGCTTAGTCCCTTTATCCCAATAGCCAGGTAGAAAGGTAGCTTACGCAATACAGTTGAGATCTGCACAATTAATATGCAAAAGATCACAATATATTTGTGGCAATAATGTATGCGCTTACAGCATCATATCTCACAGAATGCTGTATACATGTATTGACACTGTATATGACTCAGACTTTGTGTAGATAATATAACACACGTTTCATGGCTTTATTATTGCCATTTCACCACTGATTAGGAACGTGTATGATATCTTGACTCCACTATATTTGCACGTCATTTATAACAGGTCAATTGTTATATTATATACAGGAATAGCAAAAGAACAGACTCTAGAATGAAAGAGTGGCGTTGTGAGGTGACGTGCAACTACAATATTGCTCAGAGAAACTGTCACATAGGTAACGGATATCTATGACAGAACTACAATGATGTGGTTGTTTTCTTCTTTTAAAGCAGATCAAAAATAATGAATGGTGTTGGACCCAGTGGTAAAGTATGTGACTGTTGTGTTCAGCTGGCTTCTCGTGAGAGTGCTGTGATGTGAACGAAGTGATGAGTAGATTTAATGTCTCACTGGAGCGTTCATTACTAGATATAATAAGTTATTGAATGCCATCTGCTGTCTCAGACACAATCTAAATGTCTTCAGTAGTTCTGCCCTGCCTCACATTGTGTCAACATCTGCTATGAACAACTAAATAGTTAGAATGGTCTGTCTGTGATGTGAAGTAAAAACCATGCATATGGGGTGTCTTAGCACTCTTCACAATTAACGAGTGAGTGAACAAGGGGATGGGTGCCTACCACTACCTCTCACATTTTCAGCCACATGAATACAGGAACTTCACTAAAGGAACTGCCTGCACTGACTTACACACAAATATGACATCTACTGTAGAAGACATTAGTGCTTTCATCTGGGGTTTACCTACAATATCGGTAGACATATGCATACTATACTCATTACTCACATTTGTCTGGGGCATTCAGGAAGCATACACTTGTGATGAGAGACAGCATTTTTTTTCTAATGATCTTTTGGTGCAAATACAAAATAATCCAATTTGTTTTCATGTTGGCTAAAAGTCCCGTTGTTAGACTGATCAAGCACACCAAATGCATCCAAAAGCACTTTAAGACTTGTAGCACGAGTATGTGAGGGCATATATGTTAAAACCAAAACACAGCTCTGCTTATAAAGGATTTTTTTCTGTGTAGATTTTAACATTGAGACAATAAAGAAGGGAAATCTGTGACAGAGAAAAGAGTCCAGACTTTGATTGTACTGTGTGAAATGTTATAATGGAAAGTAAATAAATACATTTTCACTATAAAAATAAATGTGTGGGTCGACTGGATGAATGACTACATGTACCAGGAAGCACTGCGGCTGTCAGATTCAGCGAGGAGCACACTGACATACGGCCTGGCTTAACCAGTACGTTTTTTATATTTGTTTTGAGACAACTATTGTGTATGATAATGTCAGCATTTGTTGTGAAATTGATCTATTCCAACGATTACGTTTTGACGACATACTTACGGGGCTTGCTAGCCTTAAATTAGCTTAAGTTAGCATCCGGTAGCTAGCCATGAGACTTCAGTAAACCATGGATATATAAAGAGAACTGGATACAGCGTTGGAGGAGGGATCCATCCCGTTCATTCCTGTGACATTTGCTTGTATGAAGCTCAAAATGGAGCGACTGTAGGTTCAGAAAGTACCCGGATCATCCGGGGCCTTTTGCTTATAGAGCATGCGCAGTTAAGTTTTCCTTAAGCCCCGCCTCCGGTCTCCCGCCCTGGGCTCAGTCAAATGAAGAAAGAAAATAACTCTGGTTTTGGTTTTTAGCTTATTTATTAACAACTTTTAACAGCCCTAATGATTTAAATGAGGGCTATAAAAATGCTCGTGCTCGGTAGTTTACTGATTTACAGCGTCTCTTCCCAATGTAAGTCGATGGGGAAAAGTATGTTGGGTCAACATTACGTCACGGAAGCTGTAGTAACATCGCACACAAATCGCCTTCAATGGCCACCGTACTTCCTGGGTGCTTCCGTACCTGGAAGTAAAGCTAGCTTAACCTGCCCCCTTCAATTCACTTCGTCTTTAGCTGCACTGTGCCTTGTGTTGCTAACATTTTCTTCGTAGTGATAACCTATTTGGAGATAACGAAACGTTTTTTATTTAGTCCAATGTTTATAAATCAGTGACAGTCCTGAAACTACCTTTGACGCCACAGCTGGACATTTGTAAACTGCGTTTTAAAGCAACGTCAGCAGTCACTAACGCCAGCTGTGTCAGTGAACGTCTCACTGCTGAGTGGTAACGCATGTCTTCCTCCTGCTCTCTGTCAGCTTTCAGTGCTCCAAAAATGGATCAAGACAACAATTCAGAGGTTTGTAACACTTCCAATCATTGTGTTTGTGTGGGTCTGTGAGTGAAAGACTACACGTTGACTGGTGTTCTGCCGGATGCTCACACTGGACAGCGTGTTTATTATGATGTAAAACACATTTATTTATTCTGGTGCTAACGGTGCTATCTTTAATTTGTTTCTCAAACATTGCCATATGAATATAGCAGGCATGCTTGGGGCAATCAGTCTGTCTTTCTCAAACTGGCTAGACTTGGAAATAAATAATCTCTTAATCTAGTACAGATATAGCATGCCCTGTGTTTTAAATGGCTTATTGTTTGCTGTTTTGACATCTAACAGGATGAGTCTGTCGGCCCATCGGAGGACCCTTCAGAAGATGAACTACCCTCTTTGCCTCCAGGACTATGTAAGCTTTTTTAAATTACAGTGTATTCGTAATACCTGTTTTTTAAGTGTCTATTTGCCACGTCATGTGTCTGTCACGTTTTGGGTAGTGTATCAACCTGACAGTACATTTCAGCAGGCTTTTCGATATTCATTTCTAATTTAAATAGTGACACAATAATACACATGTTATACATTCTTTGCTCTGTACAAGAAAGGGACTTACTACTTAAATTCCTTGAGCAATGGTAGATTAACTCCACATAATCACACTTCATGTGCTGATGGTTTTGTTAGTGTTCTCTTAATATACTTTTCCCCCACATCCACATACTGTTAAAAAACGGACTTTTCTTCTGGTGTTCAAGTGATACCCAGATTTGTCAACATGTAATTACTATCTGTAACCCAATTGTGATTATGTGGAGTTAATCTACTCCATCAATAGCAGAGACACTGTTTATGTGAAAAGAACTGTGTGTATAGTGTAAATTACTATAACTTTAGCTTATGCACTATAAAAGAGAAACCTTTTCAAATGTGTTTTAAATATGAAAATATATTCTTCCTATAACAATATAGTAGTTATTGTAAGCCATCAAAACTAGATTTGTCCCCTTGTATATTTCAGCTCCTTTTTAAAACTCTCTTTTATTTTGTCCAGCGGATGGTGAAGCAATGGAGCTGCTTTGGCAGCTGCGGTCCCAGCGCCGCCAGGCGTCCCCTGAGCTCCCAGAGACGGTTTCCATTCTAACGGCTCCGGACGGCAGCCTCCTCTACCTGGTGGGCACGGCCCACTTCAGCGACAGCAGCAAGCAGGATGTGGCTATGGTGAGCCAATGAGAATTTACTATGAGTTGTCAGTGAAACAATGGAGTAACTCTGAGAATGTGCTGTACAGTAGCGCCTGGGAGATGAGTCGGCCCGACTGTTAATACTGTAATTAGGTTGGCATTCTTCTCTTGCCAAGCATAAGTCTTGTTTTTCCTCATTGATTTTCAGTTTTTACTTCCTCCCTCACTGCTCATTTGCCATTTATTTCTCTTTCTTGCCCACTATGTCTCTGTTTCTTAATTTTGCATTTCCCTGCCTCCCAGACGATCCGCGCTGTGCAGCCAGACGTGGTGGTGGTGGAGCTATGCCAGTATAGGGTGTCTATGCTAAAGATGGACGAGGCTACACTGCTGAGGGAAGCCAAAGACATAAATCTGGATAAGGTTCAGCAGGCCATCAAACAGGTCAGACTCAGAAAGATGGACTGACAGTACCAATGGCAATCGAGAAAGTACAGAATACTGTGGATAAGGATGTTGTTGAAAGTGACTCATTCAGGCACTCATTCTTAATGGTAAAATACATGTCTCTGATGCACAAACAGGATTAAGTGTTAGAGCTTTTTATTTAGTCTTTTCTTCTAGTTTTTTTTAACTATGGTAATGTGTGCCCTGAAATCTGTGTATTTCAGAACTCATCTTTAAAGAATGACCTCTGAAGGCATAGCTGTGTTTCTGTGAATGTTTATTTTTGTCCTGTGTTTTTCAGAATGGGCTGATGTCCGGCCTCATGCAGATTCTCCTGCTTAAAGTTTCAGCTCACATCACAGAGCAACTGGGTATGGCTCCCGGAGGAGAGTTCAGAGAGGCCTTCAAAGAGGTAAAACATGCACCAAAGATATGCATATCTAAAAAAGGTGGACAGTGGCTGTATATATGTTGTGTTTATTTTGTAATGTTTTACTCTTGAAGTTGTTCTTCCTTCACAGGCTGGACAGGTACCGTTCTGTAAATTTCACCTTGGCGACAGGCCGATCCCCGTGACGTTCAAGAGAGCCATCGCAGCTCTCAGTCTGTGGCAGAAAGCCCGTCTGGCGTGGGGTCTTTGCTTTCTCTCTGACCCAATCAGGTAGCTTCATGTTTATTTTGTCGTACCACACCATTTTGTGAGACTTTCTTAATATCTATTACTCAATACTGCTGTCCAGGAGAGAATAGAGAAGTGCTGTATTTAGACGTCCTGAGATGATCGAGAGGGAGATGAACACTAAATAGTCAATGTTTTGCCCTGGAATAAAATGCAGCTACAGCGAACTGACTTCTCGGTAGGATTAGGGAATGTGCGCACACACATATCGTACAGAGTACATGCAACTCTTCCAATTCTTCCTCTTCCTGTGAGATCTGACTGGAAGTTAGCTGCATAAAGTGTTTGTGAATCCATCTTTCGAGATTTCTTGAGCTTGCTATATTCTCTGCCAGGCAAGGGAGACCCAACCAGAAAATATGCTTTGAAGTACAATATGTTGAATCCCCACAAATGTAAGCTGTCCACCCATTGAGCCTCAGATCTTTTTCAAATGTCTAGACTGAAAACACAACGGGTTGGCCACGCTGTAAAAGGCTTCTCCAAGTGCAGTTGATTGCATCATTTTGCAATAAAGTGCAATTGAAAATGACTTATTAATGAGTACTTTGACAAGCGCTATATAAATATAATGAATTATTATTATTTTGCCTTTCAAGAGGTTTATTTCACCTTTTTTACATCTTGTATACAGACTTTTTAAAAGAAGGCATTAAAAAATGTTTTAAAAAATATTAAATTGAACATGATTTGGAAAAAATCCTGCAAACTTCATCTGACCCAATCCTTTTTGACTGTTTGTTCCTCATCCTTTACTCTCTACTGTTGTTATGTGTTTAGTAAAGAGGACGTGGAGAAGTGCAAACAGAAGGACCTGCTGGAGCAGACCATGTCAGAGATGATCGGAGAGTTTCCTGCTCTCCACCAAACCATCGTGGCCGAGCGAGACATCTACCTCACACACACACTCCGCCAGGCTACACGCTGTGTGGAGACCCCCAGTAATGCCCAGAGTGCGTATCATGACACCTTTCAAAAACATCATTGTGTCTTTTTCTTTCAAGTTTTTAGCTCCCTAATCCTGTTCTTTATGTTTTCACCTTGTGTACATTATGGTTTTATTCACATCATAAAATACTGCTATTCATTTTGGTTGTTTTACATATACATTGCTCATTAGTCTTGAAAAATAAATGTAATTTTATTGTAATTCTTAAATAGTGCGTCAGAATTGCATAACTGTGCTTGATATAGATTTTCCTTAACAAGACGTGTCAACCTACTGTGTAGTGTATCTTGTGAAATATGTTTTTCTAAATAGTTGCGTAAACAGCCGACCGGTAATGACAGTGTGGTTTGAATGCTACAGAGGCTGTTGACCAACATGCTGAGTCATATTGTCTATAAAGAGGCTGGAACTGTTAACTTTACTTAGCTTAAAAATAAATGTTGAGATCATGGTGAGACCACAGGAATTGATACTTTGTGAATAATCTAGGCAATGTTCCTCATTAATTAATGCATTGTCAAAAAAGGGCAGTATCCAGACATTCAGGGCATTTATACTGAAATGTATCCCTGGTGGATTTGATGAAACATTTCTCTGTTGTCAAATAACCTTTGGTTTTGTAGAAGTTTAAAGAAGTGTTGATTTTCTATGTAACAAAAATATTTGATACTACTTTTCTTTTTTTTTCACAGAAGTGCCTGCAGTGGTGGTGGGAGTCGTAGGGATGGGTCACGTCCCTGGCATCGAACGAAACTGGGAGAAGCAGCTCAACATAACTGAAATCATGAGGTGAGTGTGTTACATATCAGATGTAGACTGTAATAAAAACACTCACAGTTGCTGAATGTGTCCGTCTGTCTCCTCCTCAGTGTGGCGCCGCCCTCACGTTTCGGCTGGGTGCTGCGTACGGTCATAAAGGGCGTGGTGATGGGGATGCTGGGATATGCCTGCTACCGTGCTGGAGGGAGTCTGGGCCGAACCGTGCTGTCTTTACCTGCAGTCGAATCTTTACTGGAGACTATACGGCCACCCCCTCTTAGCCCACATGACCTTTGACCTATTAACAGTATGCATTTTTCACCAATGGCCTTAAAAACAGGAGGTTGGGCTGGGGGAAAGGTTTCATCAGCCCACGATATGAACTAACAAGGACCTCAGGGGGTTAACACCCCCCACCTCGTATTGATGTCCCTGTACACGCAGCAGGGCCGTACTGCCAAAGAAACCATGACAGTACTCTTTGTTTTCTTTCATATTTTGTGCAAACCCCGCATTTTGTAAGGTTTACAAAGGCCAATAATTCCCTCTGAATATATTTACTTTACATACATAGAGTTTTTATTTGAAAAATATCAACAGATTTATCATCAGTCAGGTGCCCGGATTAGACATTTTCTCACAGACACACATTTTATTTGTCTTATTCCTTCCTCTTTTATGGTAAATATTTTTTAAATCCACCATTCTTTAAACACACATAACACACACTTGTTTCCCATGTGCACAGATAAGTGCCTCATGCTTCAGCACTAAGGGCAAACATGTGTTAAATGCATCTTATAAAGACACCAACCACAGGTCAATGCAATTTTTCTAATATTCTGTCTTTAAATAATTCTATATCAGGCCTATTTTATAAATACCGTTGCCCCAAATCGACTTTTGTTGTCTTGGCTTCAGATATGACACGCATGACTTTTACATGCATTAGGACCTGACGCAGGACAGGCATACATGTGCCTCAGGATGAGCAACGCACTTGATAACATTTATATAATTGATTGTACCTCCAATATGAGGTATCCTCATGTGTGAGTAAGGGTTCATATTTGACACAAAAATATGCTTTTACAGAAAGACGTTTCTCAGATGATAAAAGAAACACAAGCATTTTGTTTCGCTCAAGGTGAGGACTGACCGTGATGATTTCTGAGTGGACATTTGTTATGGACATATTTTGACTACTATGAAGGAAACGGACCGTTCAGATTGGTCAGAGTTGGGAGGTAAAGCCTTACACTGCTATCACTGCTGCCTTTGACCATCAGATTGCCTCATCTGCTGAGGCTTTACAGTATATACAGGTCCAAGATTGACCTGTATCCATACAGAGCTGCTTATTGCATGTGTACAAATGAACTAAATGACATGCCGGGAGCTTTGTTATGTAAGAAATGTCCCAATAAATCCAAGATGATACATGTATACTGTACATGGTTGCAGTGCAATAAACCAACATAGATTTTTAAGGTATTTCCAATCTTAATGATTAGTGATTGTACAGTAGGCCTACTGGAAGTGTTTAAATGTATTTATAAGATACATGAAAGGAATGTATTGGCTGTCTTTAATATGTGAAACGGTCCAGTGGACTAATATTGGACTTAAATTAAGTAGTGCCACAAACATTATTGGGACCTCCTCAAATTAAACTAACTCATATAAAACCTGTCTTCCAATATATAAATCAAGCACTTTGCTCAAGTTAGAGAGGAGGATATCGGGAACAGATTATGTCATGCCTCTTGGTCCCTTAGCAGCATAAAACAGTCAAACTTAAACATGTTATGTCTCTTCATCATTTCCAAAGGTTTAATGTTTAAGAATTGTCAAGGGAAAACTATGAATGCCAGGCTTTTCCGTAAAACCTACTTCCCCAGGTCCTAATGTGGTGTTGTCATTGTTAAACCAAATATTACAACATAACTTCTGCAATTAATTATTAAAGAATTTAGTAAATATTCACTTTTTTTAAAACCCTGTTTCATTATGTTAGCCCCAAAAATTGTAATGAACTCAGTAATGATTACGTTTCCTATGGACCAGTCATTTTGATTTATTAAAATAACATATAGCTGTACAGCTTTCTGGTGAAAATACATTTACAAATGAGTTACTATACAGTATACACAGACAAAGAAATGTCGCAAAGATGAAACGTAGGTAGAGATTTAGAGGTTTCTGTTTTTTAATATAATAATCCATATACAATTATGATAGTAATCAGTTCAACAGCGCCATCATCTGGGTTATAATAGTAATTTGTTTTTAATGTCTCCAAACAAAGGTCCTTCTTTCCTGTTTCCGGACAAGTATTGATGTAACACAGTCCGATTAGCAAACATCCGCTGTAGTTTATTGCAGCTATTATGAAAGCCGGACAGGTGACCAGTGCCACCACTTCGTAACACTGCCAGTGAACATACCCAGACAGATGGCCTTGTTTGAATGGCTTATTTAGCTCCTCGGCTTGGACACTTTCGCATCTTTAACCACAGTGTTTCCGCGTGCAGGCTGCTCGGCATGGCCGACATGGGTCTTGCGCTGAGTCGGTCCCCGCTGGAGAGGCTCGACTTCGACAACGTCGCGCTCAAGAAACTTCCCCTGGACTCGTCCGAGGAGCCGGGGGTGCGGCAGGTGAATGGCGCGTGTTTCTCCCGGGTGAAGCCGCAGCCGGTGACCAAGCCTCGCTTCGTGGCGGTGTCTCATGAAGCTCTCGCACTGCTGGGGCTGAACGGAGAGGAGGTCATGACCGACCCGCTCGGGCCGGAGTACCTCAGCGGGTCCAGAGTCATGCCGGGCTCCGAGACCGCCGCTCACTGCTACTGCGGACACCAGTTCGGCCAGTTCGCCGGGCAGCTGGGCGACGGGGCGGCCACCTACCTGGGCGAGGTGAAGGTCCCTCCCGGCCAAGACTCCGACCTGCTCCGGGAAAACCCGAGCGGCCGGTGGGAGATTCAGGTGAAAGGAGCTGGAAAGACTCCTTTTTCCAGGTACACCGGGAGGTGTTACTGTGTCTGTTTGTGTTGTGTTAGCAGAATAATTGTTCCTTTACCATTTTAATGAAATACACCACAGATTAAAAGAAAAATGCTGAGACTTTCCCTTTTTTCTATACAAATAACATTTTTCGACAGCACCAAACAAGTTATTGGAAGCTAATTTACTTATAGGATTCTTGCTGGTCTGATACGTATCCCTAGTTAATTGCACTAAATGTGACTAATTTAAGATTATAGTGTCAGCTAAATATAATATAATCCTAATGAGTATATTGAAAATGCTCAAACGACCTATATTACTATCTGTATAATCAGGAACATTGTTTTTTTCTATGTATTTTCTGTGCTCCATAGACAAGCTGACGGACGTAAGGTCCTGCGCTCCAGTATAAGAGAGTTCCTGTGCAGCGAGGTGATGTTCTTCCTGGGTGTCCCCACCACCAGAGCAGGCTCCGTAGTCACCTCTGACAGCAGGGTTGTACGAGATGTGTACTACAGCGGGAACCCTCGTAACGAGAGATGCTCTGTTGTCCTCCGCATTGCCCCCACCTTCCTCAGGTGAGGCCATGTTGTCCCCCTTTCATCTATCATAGTTTCTTTAGATGCACACACATGAGTTGTTTATTTAAAATGTGCGTTCTCTGAGCAGGTTCGGATCCTTTGAGATCTTCAAGCAGGCTGATGAATCTACGGGTCGTCAGGGCCCCAGCTACGGACGTCATGAGATCCGAAGTCAGATGATGGATTATGTCATTGAGATGTTTTACCCTGAGATCCAGCGGAATCACCCAGATAGGGTGGAGAGGAACGTGGCTTTCTTCAGAGAGGTCAGGGCACACACTCTCAACTGACCGCATACACATTCCAGACAGGAAAATGGCACTTGAATAAAGAATGAAAAGTTTCCAAAGGTTTAATCAAATCAGCAGGTTGCCAGCTTCACGTTACAGTTTGGAGCCAAGAACGCTTGGATCCTCTTATCCTGTTAAGCTGCTGTGGGTGGTTCAATAACAGAATCTGCTGAGTCACTGTGACCTATGAGATTAGGACAATAACAAGGCATTAAACTCTGGATGCCATTTTCCTTATTTAATTCGTAATGAATCACATCATGCATACTTCCCAGGCGTTGTATTCAGATGGTTCTGGATATTCTGTTCACCCCTCTTATGTTAGATTACTCTCTCCTCCCTGTTTGCAGGTGATGCTGCGCACGGCTCGACTCGTGGCTCAGTGGCAGTGTGTGGGTTTCTGCCATGGAGTCCTGAACACGGACAACATGAGCATCCTGGGACTCACGCTGGACTACGGTCCATATGGATTCATGGACAGGTTAGACATTTGCGAGTTGTTTTGTCCAATTAGTCAAATTCTGTTGGTCCTGAATGGTTATTTAATATTTGAGTCAAAGGACCTGTTTATATTTTCTGCGACAACCTATTTTACCATATACAGTCCCCTCCAACACTATTGGAACCGTTTTGGACATAAAGGAGTTGGCCTCGCTGCTCCAATATTTTTTTTACTTATACTAATACTTTTTTTTTTTTATATGGGGACTGTAGAAGTAGTTTGGAATCAGGACATCATAATACACATATTTCTGGATGTTTACAGTCTGACTAATTATAAAACTCTACTTTCCTTTTCTTCTCAGGTTTGATCCAAATTTCATTTGCAACGCTTCTGACAACTCCGGCCGATACTCCTACCAGGCGCAGCCGGCTATCTGCAGGTGGAACCTGGTGAAGCTGGCGGAGGCTCTCGCTCCAGAGCTGCCACCGGACCGGGCTGAGGAAGTTGTTGATGAGTACCTCGATCTGTACAACGGCTTCTACCTGGAGACCATGAGGAAGAAGCTGGGCTTATTGAAGAAGGACGAGCCGGAGGATGAGGTCTTGATCACAGAGCTGCTGCAGACCATGCACAACACAGGTGGGATATTAATGGATGATCACTATATATCTGCTAGTAGGGCTGCCACAATATCACATTTTCTCTGCACATTTACTGTGACTAAAAGAATGAAGAATAACCATATATCTAAAGAAAGAAACCCTCAAAATACTAGTGTAGACAGGGGAGGAAACAGTCTGGAGCAAAAGCAAAAAGTAATTTGATTGTGGATTTAAGAGGCACTAGATTAGTTTCATTATATAATATATGTTTTATTGATATTACATGACATTGCATTTAGCTGACGCTTTTATACAAAGCGACTTACACTAAGTGCATTCGACCAAGAAGATACAAACTTGAAGAAAACCGAATCATATAAGTACATCAGGTTTCAGAGAGCCAACACATTTTAAGTGCTACTCAACTAGCTTTAGATAAGCCAGTCCTTTGTTAGTATGTAAGTGCTTAGTTAGTATCGAAGTTCTTTTTTTGGTGCTTTTTTTTCATTTTATTGCTCGAAGTGGAGTCGAAAGAGATGAGTTTTCAGTGATATGATACAAATATTTAATTTCCAAATATAACTGTTATCTTAACAACCGCTTTATTGCTACAAGCTAATTACACAGTAATAGTCAGATGAGAGAGCTGTCTTTATTTTAGAGGCAAAAGGTTTAAGGATGTAATGTATGCACACATTGCTGCAATGAAACATATTCCATCAATCACTTTAATCGCTTTTCTGTCCCCGTGCTGCAGGAGCTGACTTCACCAACACCTTCCGTAGCTTGAGTCAGATTTCCTGTCCCACTGAGGGTGAAGGTGAAGAGGAAGAGGAGCTGGTGAGGAAGGCCACTGAGCTCCTGCTGCAGCAGTGCGCCTCCTTAGAGGAGCTCAAGGCTGCCAACAAACCCACTATGGATACACGGTGAGCAAGACATATTTTACAACCACACTATGTGTTGTCTACATCGTTACATCACAGAATGGAAGTAAAACACAGCTGAGATTTTAAGGGTGATAAGTAATAGAATGTAATATTTATTTATCTTTTAATTAATCACCATCATTTTCTGGTAACTGGTCATTAAAATAATGCATTTGACATTGTTAATTAAAATATAAATGACTAAAAGTTAGATAATGGATCAAACTATGGTTTGATTTAACATTTTGCAGTACCAGTGTGGCTCACTAGGTTGCGTCCTGAGGCTCACCACTTTGCCGGCATCAGTGGTTCACATTAATGTGTGGAAGGCTCTTAATTATGCCTGGTATTATTAGCCGCCATTAAGAGAAAATTGTAAACATCAGATTTAGAGAAATTAGTTAGACTTTTAATCTGATTTCCTGTCTTACCAAATATTTATTTTATGCATGTTGGTCTAGTCAGTGAAATAATCGTGTCTTTGTTCAGCTCACCTTGTTGCCTCAGATTACGTTTCTAACCACAGTTGAAACCTTGATTGCCTGTGCTGGCTGCACCGCTCCTCTGCTTTCTCCAACAGGCCAATAAAGATTCTAACCGTTGTGATTTCTGCCTGTTGTTGACAGTGAACTGGCCATGCTGCTCTCCATGGCTCAGAGCAACCCAGCGCTGTTCCAGATGATCTCAGACAGGGTGACAATTGCGAGGCAGTTGGAGATAATCAGCAAACTGAAAGACCTGATGGAGACCAGCCAGGAAGAGCTGCAAAGCAAACATGCGGAAGACTGGAGCGGCTGGATCACACGCTATAGGTGAGGGGGAACATTACTACGCAGAGAGAGGGGGAAAAGGCGAGATATGTGAAGGAAATGATGAGTAAGAACAACAGCTGGCATGTGAAACAAGGGGTAGAAGGTGGAGGAAGAGGATAAGAGATTTGTTGGTGGGTGGGTGGTGATGGGTGGAAGTGTGACTGATAGGGGGGGCGGACAGACAGAAAGAAGAGGAAACGGGCTGTTGAGTCCGACATGGCTCCACCCTCTGACTGTTCTGTGTTATCACCCCCGCAGGAAGCGTCTGGCGCGGGAGCTGGAGGGCCAGAGCGATGTGAGGGCGCTGCAGGAGGAGAGGGTGAGGGTGATGGACAGCACCAACCCTCGCGTGGTGCTCAGGAACTACATCGCCCAGAATGCAATTGAGGCTGCTGAAAATGGAGACTTCTCTGAGGTCAGGCTTAGATTCGCTGTGATGTTTTTGACCTTTTGGTTGAAAAACTTGAAACCCTGAATGTCAAATTAACTTATCTTTATTTAAGTTTAAACTTTAGAATAACTACAGTGGGGCAAAACAGTATTTAGTCAGCCACCAATTGTGCAAGTTCTCCCACTTAAAAAGATGAGGCCTGTAATTTTCATCCTAGGTACACTTCAACTATGAGAGACAGAATGAGAAAGAAAAAAAAATCCAGAAAATCACATTGTCTGATTTTTAAAGAATTTATTTGCAAATTATGGTGGAAAATAAGTATTTGGTCAATAACAAAAGTTCATCTCAATACTTTGTTATATACCCTTTGTTGGCAATGACAGAGGTCAAACGTTTTCTGTAAGTCTTCACAAGGTTTTCACACACTGTTGCTGGTATTTTGGCCCATTCCTCCATGCAGATCTCCTCTAGAGCAGTGATGTTTTGGGGCTGTCGCTGGGCAACACAGACTTTCAACTCCCTCCAAAGATTTTCTATGGGGTTGAGATCTGGAGACTGGCTAGGCCACTCCAGGACCTTGAAATGCTTCTTACGAAGCCACTCTTTCGTTGCCCGGGCGGTGTGTTTGGGATCATTGTCATGCTGAAAGACCCAGCCACGTTTCATCTTCAATGCCCTTGCTGATGGAAGGAGTCACTCAAAATCTCACGATACATGGCCCCATTCATTCTTTCCTTTACACGGATCAGTCGTCCTGGTCCCTTTGCAGAAAAACAGCCCCAAAACATGATGTTTCCACCCCCATGTTTCACAGTATGGTGTTCTTTGGATGCAACTCAGCATTCTTTCTCCTCCAAACACGTCTAGTTGAGTTTTTACCAAAAAGTTCTATTTTGGTTTCATCTGACCATATGACATTCTCCCAATCCTCTTCTGGATCATCTAAATGCTCTCTAGCAAACTTCAGACGGGCCTGGACATGTACTGGCTTAAGCAGGGGGACACTTCTGGCACTGCAGGATTTGAGTCCCTGGCGGCGTAGTGTGTTACTGATGGTAGCCTTTGTTACTTTGGTCCCAGCTCTCTGCAGGTCATTGACTAGGTCCCCCCGTGTGGTTCTGGGATTTTTGCTCACCGTTCTTGTGATCATTTTGACCCCACGGGGTGAGATCTTGCGTGGAGCCCCAGATCGAGGGAGATTATCAGTGGTCTTGTATGTCTTCCATTTTCTAATAATTGCTCCCATAGTTGATTTCTTCACACCAAGCTGCTTACCTATTGCAGATTCAGTCTTCCCAGCCTGGTGCAGGTCTACAATTTTGTTTCTGATGTCCTTTGACAGCTCTTTGGTCTTGGCCATAGTGGAGTTTGGAGTGTGACTGTTTGAGGTTGTGGACAGGTGTCTTTTATACTGATAACGAGTTCAAACAGGTGCCATTAATACAGTTAACAAGTGGAGGACAGAAGAGGCTCTTAAAGAAGAAGTTACAGGTCTGTGAGAGCCAGAAATCTTGTTTGTTTGTAGGTGACCAAATACTTATGTTACCGAGGAATTTACCAATTAATTCATTAAAAATCCTACAATGTGATTTCCTGGATTCTTTCCCCCCATTCTGTCTCTCATAGTTGAAGTGTACCTAGGATGAACATTACAGGCCTCTCATCTTTTTAAGTGGGAGAACTTGCACAATTGGTGGCTGACTAAATACTTTTTTGCCCCACTGTATATTACTGGAAAAAACGATTTCATACAGGACCTCCATTTTTGAATTGCTAGTAGTGAGGGTAGTAAAGCAAAGACTACAATACATTTAAGGAGATATTAAAAAAAAAAAAAAAACCTCTGTAGCACTGGACACAAAAAGCTCTTTGGTGGGAAAGAAGAAAGTTCCAGGACACTATTCTTTCATATAGTAAAACAATTTTTTTGTAGACGACTATTAAGTTATTAATGCTTTGTGAACAGCCTGGAGAAGGTTGTTCCTGCTGCTACATGTTGGTTGTTAACACAGCTCAATGATGGCATGAATACATATGAAATAGCCATATGAATGACATTTTACTACCATTTTTCCATAAGAGTGGCTTGGGGCTTTCTTCTTTTTGACACTTAAAGGGATAGTTTGGTTGCTTTTAAGTTATTTTGTATGAGGTACTTCAACCTATTCAATATATTACCTAGAGTAGCTTTAAGACAGGACTCACTGCACAGGCCATGTTCTCCTTTGGATGTGAGCATCAGAAACGTATTTTCACCAGCTAAAAAAAAGCTCACCAAAATAATCTGTAAAGTGTACGCTATATTTAGAGTATTGTCACTGCTTTACCTTGCTGTCAGACAGCTACTTCTGATGAGGAACTAAAGCACTTGTATTCATCTATGCTGAAAGCCACTAATCCCTTTTTGTTCTGCAAAGTCAAATGGGTTGCTTTGACAAGAGCATAGATGGATACAACAGCTTCAGTTCCCCTTCAGAAACATGGATTGTAAAGTTGTCTCCAGGCAAGATAAAGCAGTATAAATATTCAAAATATAGTGTACACTAACACTGATAAAGATTGTTTTAGGTGGATCAAATACATTTAGCTGCTTACCCTGACCACAGCAGCAACAGTCCAATATGGTCAGCTTTTGTGTGTTCACCAAGCATGTTGACCGCCATCTAACTTGACTACCTAATTTGACCCGACTCACAAACATTCAGACTATCCCTTTTAAAGTGGACCTATCATGCAAAATGCACTTTTTTATGTCTTTTATACATAAATATGTGTCCCCGGTATTTTGAGCAAAACACTTCATAGACATGTTTTTTATATATTTGTATATATCTGAGACCTATGCTATTGCCTAAAAATAGCATGATAGGTGACCTTTAGGTTACCCTCAGTTCCTCCGCTCCCTTCAGTGTTTCACTTTCAGGGTGTTCACCTGCTCTCACTTCCTCTCTGTGCTACAGGTCCAGCGGGTCCTCAAAGTTCTGCAGAAGCCTTTCTCTTCACAGCCCGGTCTGGAGAGTCCTGCCTGGGTGGGCCGAGGCCAGACCCTCGACCAGGGGGAGAGGGATGAGGAAGAGGAGGAGGAGCAGCAGGAGGCGGCGGCATCTTCATCTTCATCAACAGCCAGAACTCCTGTTCCCTACGACAGCAAGCCCCCAACCTGGGCCAATGAAATCTGTGTCACATGATCTTCGTAATAACTTCCTTGATTGTTTCCTGCCTAAAATAATGAGAGGGGTATAAGGTGTTTTAAATATGTTTATGTCTGTACAACTCTTTATTACTTGGGCAGGCAGCGTCTTGGAAGTTAGCATGAGGCGCGACACCCCACAGGTTACCCAACTCATACAAGGCAGACAGGGAGTGAGATTAATTTGGTGCACAAAAGCAAATACAAATATGATATATGCTAGGTTATATGAAAAGCTTGTCTCTGTAACTGAAGATTTCAGGACAATGGATTTAAAGTCCTTCTTATATACGATTGGCTTTAACATCAAAAGTGATCTAATATAAGGAATGTGGTCGATGAGTGTTTTTTCTGATCCCCTTGAATGCAAGACGCATTAATGGTGGAAAAAACATGACCATTAAACATGAATGGCACAAAATAATAATAGTTTGAAAATGCATCAAAACTAATTTTTGAAGAAAAACTGTGACTACACTAAGAAGCCAATCCGATCGTTCCCTGCCTGCTTGGGATTTGTTTAGGTATTGATGACGACTCGGGCAACAAGTCCTTCAGTGACCTGTCTGACTCTGAAAAACTGTGGGGTGTCACCTCAAAAGAAACCAAAAAAAAACATGTGTGAGAGAGAGAGAGAGAGAGATATGATGATGATTTTAGGAATGTATTTGGGTGAATGGTTATGATCCAACAAGCCGCAGTTGATAAACATGCACAATATTCTCCTGTTGTAGAAACATTTGCCTTTTCCATTGTCACAGCACCACTTTATAGGCACAGAGCCACAAGCAACACAATGTCACCGAACATGTTCAGTGAGCAGTTAACCTAGACTGTCGAGCAAAGTAGAAATCGGGTTTTGAAAATAAAACGTTCTAAGGTGAAGTTTATTGTAGTATGTGGCATAAATGTGACCCTAATTCATGAATTTGTTTTAACCGTGATGCCTCAGCACTAATAATAGCTTGCCATATTTGAAAGAGGGTCATTGTGTTAGTTTGACAATAAAAATGATTTTATAAGTTAAAAAAAAGCTGGACTGACAAATTGAAACCCAATAAGGTTTAGTTCCAGAGTTTTATTTTTCCTACAAAGTTATGAAATATATATATGTTTAATCTCTTCCTTAACAATAGCCTTAATACACATGCAGACCTCACATAGCTTTTTTGATTAATTTAAAGAACTTTTTATGTTTCTGTGTTACATAACATAATTGGATTACTGCACACAAAAACATCCTGAAACGTGTCTTCTGTGTGTAAATGTCACATGGACTAAGCTTACACAATGTGACACTTACAAGTTTGTACATAACGCCACAGTTTCCTTGTTCTGTTTCCTGGAAGCCACAGAGTAGTATTTATGTAACCACCTATCAGTGTTTATAGCCCAGGGCGTCAGAAACACTCATGTCCCAGCAAGTCTCTAAAATCTTCTCATTTTACTCATGCTCAAACAACGTGGAACATATAGTAATCGCTGCCACTCAAACCCAGCGCATGTGCCAAACGCTGCTCTCCAAACTGCGCACTTACAAAACGGTTTCAAGGTAATGTTGTCAGTAGAGTCTCGTATTACTCACACATTCCATTCTCCCGTTCACCTTTAATTCCAGGCCTCCCGCAAGACTCGGGAGTGGCTATGGGTGACCTCAGGGTGCGCCCTTAGCGGCTGACGCGCAGAGCTGCGCACTGGGTGAGCGCATAGGTGGGATCTGGGACTTGGGTGTGTAGCGTCGCAGCAGACAGAACAACCAAGGAAGAGCCTCTACTAGACTGTGTGTGTTTACTTTTTATATATAGCATGTCTAAGCGAGTGAGACCCGGCTATTACCGCCAAGAAGTCAACAAAACGTCATGGGAAGTACCGGATCGGTACCGGGAGCTGAGGCAGGTGGGGACCGGCGCTTACGGGACAGTATGGTGAGTGAATTATGCGTTACAGGGAGACGATGTATAGCCTACTGTGATCGTACTGCGGGGTGAGTGGGGAGCAGTGTAACAAAGAAAGGGACGGAACAGATGGTGCCATGCAGGCAGAAGCTCTGTGCCACAGCCAAACAAAAGAAAAGTATCTGCGCTCCGCTGAACACACGCTGCTTCACTTCCTCATATGATGGAGACACTTGCACATATCTTTTGCTTTACCGTAGACTTCCTGTCATCTTTAGCCACCTCTGAACGGTTTTTTAATTATGAAGAGTGCATGGTTCCGGGTGAAATAGGTGCGCTCAACACAACCCGAGTTTAGGGATACACACAACAATTTGCACCTTTTGTGCGTCTCGCAGCATGCGGCCCCTTTGTTATCAATGATTAACTCTGGGGGCGGGCCATACTGCCCCGAGGACTCAATACAACTTAATAACACATGAACAACTCCGAGATATTGTTGGTATATGAAACAAGCTTGTGTGCGCGCCTGATCAGAAGATTATAAGGTGTTATTGTCAGTTAGAATATTTGTTGGCAATTCAAACTCCTTTCACGAGTCAACCTACAATATACTTTAAGAAATAAATAAAAAAGTGCAAGTGACAAGGGTGCATGTAAAATGAAGGAAGTATACTATTTACACAGAAGTGGGAAGGAACTAATTAGATGTTGAGATATTTGTACGTTACTTGAGTATTTCTAATGAATGCTACTTTGTTCCTTTGCACCACTGCAATTCAGAGGTAAAGTGTATACTTTTACTACACTGTATTAATTTTATACATTTAGTTACTTGTCAGATTTGTATTAATGATGTGAAATACAATCAACACTTAAATCAGACTTTAGTTACACCTGGAGTAAATTCACAAGCTACCCTGCAGTATACTACCAGCTTTTGATAATCAAAACATATAATATATATTATTCTGAAATGGACCAATCTGCATAATGAGTACTTTTACTTTTGGTACTTTAAGTATATTTTGATGCTAATACTCTTGTACTTCTACTTGAGTAACATTTTGAAATCAGGACTTTTACTTGGAACAGAGTATTCCTACACTGTGGTGCTTCTACTGACTCAAGTACAATATCTGAGTACTTCTCCCACCTCTGTTTACATACATGTAAGACAAGAAAGATACTGTGTACCTGTACTGTGTACTGTGTACCTGAGCAAAGGTGTTTCCACAGTGACAGAATATTCAAATTGGATTATTATTTATTTCCTCATCAGTCAGTTCAGTGTAAGATATTAAATGTGCTGTGTCACACCCTCTGATTTATTGTCACCCTCAGCTCAGCAGTGGACTCCAGAACAGGAACCAAAGTGGCGATCAAGAAGCTGTACAGACCTTTCCAGTCGGAGCTCTTTGCCAAGCGGGCATACAGGGAGCTGAGGCTCCTCAAACACATGAAACATGAAAATGTGAGTCAGCATAATCAGGCTTTTTTAAATATTGTATTTTTACAGTTTGTACTAAAGACAAAACCTCCACTGGTGTAATAAATTGTGTATTTCTGTCTGTTGCAGGTGATCGGACTATTGGATGTGTTTACTGCTGACCTCTCTCTGGACAGGTTTCATGATTTGTAAGTCTTCTTTATGCTTCTGGCACTGTAGCACAGCAGCTAGCTATTAAATCAATACTTCACACACCAAAATGACCCCTGAAATGATCAATTATCATCCCTTGAGAAGAACATTTGAAGAAAAATCCAAGTCATATTATCCAGTTGTACTCACTACTTCCCAAATACATGCATTTTTATTTAAACCTCTTAAAACACAAATGGCATGTATATTCTATAGAGCAAGTGGTACTGCTCTGTATCAATGGGTGTGAATGGGTGAATGACATGTAGTATGTAAAGCGCTTTGAGGGGTCGTAAAGACTGGATAAAGCGCTATATAAGTACAGTCCATTTACCATTTATATTCTCCTGTTATTGTATTATGTGAAGGAAAAACCAATAAATAAATAGTTTTTAAAAATAAAAAACACTAATGGCATAAACAGGCACACTTCGAACACGTTTATGTGGAAGTGTTTTAAATAGTAGCTCTTTAGCAAAAATGCATGTGATTTGGAGGTGTTGACTGTATGACAGTCTGTTAATAGATGTTGTGGTGTATTTTACTGTAAATAAATGTAGAAGATATTTCAAAGTTGCATCCTGTTGATCATGTTTCCTTCTTCCTGAAGTTACCTGGTGATGCCGTTCATGGGGACAGACCTGGGGAAGCTGATGAAGCTGCAGAAGCTGTCAGAAGAGAAGATTCAGTATCTGGTGTATCAGATGCTCAAAGGGCTGAAGGTGGAGAGCTCTACTTTGATCGTACATTGGGAACTATTTATTACTTTAAAACTTGAGTTTATTTTTTCTGTTGCTTAAATCCCTGTTTTATTCTTTTATTACAGTATATTCATTCTGCTGGTATAATTCACAGGGTAAGTATTTTATTATTTCATATACATCATTATATTTGTGTGAGATAATGGTTGCTTTTACAATAGGGCCACAATATACATCAATAATATGCAATTCAGTTTTGTCACATGTCCCTGTCCTTTCATGTTATGGTTCGTTTTGTTCACTTTTTTATAAAAACATTTCCATAAAAGAGATTAAATGCACAATAAACAGACTTAAAGATACATTCGACCAATAGCATTATTAGTATTGCCTTAAAGGTCCCATGTCATGCTTTGCCGGTTATTACCCGTCCCCTTGTGTGTTATGTAGCTTTTTCTGCATGTAAACGGTCTGCAAAGTCACAAACCCTCAAAGTACACCCTGTTGCGAGTAAAACTCTAACACAGAAAATACCTGTCTATGCTGCCCCAGAACGCCTCGTTGGAGATTGATCTTTTTCTTCCTGGTACTAAATGACGTAACAACGTCCTAAATGGACCAATCCGCGGAGCCGTTACGTTACGTCCGCAGAGCCGTTTGGAATCTGCGGACTTCCTCACACACACACACACACTCAATCTTTTCTTAGCTGCTGCTCCGGGGATTTCTCAAGACAGTGGGATTTCTCAAGACGGTGAGACGCGCGCCGTTTCTTCCTATAGAAGATGCATAGGGCTCCCCCAAGCTGAATGTTTTTTTATTCATCCAAAAAACAAAAAAAGGATAATTCATACACACAAAGATGAACAAAATTAGTAGAAGCGGGAGGGCTGAAGCATAGCTTATGGAAAGTAGCCCTCCCGTGCATAATCCTAATACAACATCGGCATTATTGCGTCAAAAATGTATAGAAATGAAGGAGTACAAAGAAATAAAGAAAACAGGAGAAAAAATTCAATAAAAGTTAGGGCAGGAAAACAATAAATGTATATATATATATATATATATATATACAAAAACTAGATATAGGGTCATTTTCTGCACATGTTAATAGCAGTTTCAACTATCTTTTTTTGGAAATGAAAATACTATATATAAATGTACTTGGCAAATGAATAATAATAATATATGCATAATTGCATATAAACATTGTGAACACTTATTTTCAAGTGATTTTTTTTTTACATTCATATGTTCACGCTGTGGTTTGGAACTGCTTTCGAATGTTAGTAGGCATTTTGTTATGGAAAATGTTGTGCATAACCAGTACTGTTTTAAGCTGTACTATGTCAACAGATTTTAATAGATAGAGGTTTTTTTTTAGATATGGGAGTTGTGTGTTCATATTTACCAACACCACAGACTATTCGTAATGCTTTTCTTTGGGATGTTATTATTTTTTGTAGATTTGTTGAGTACGTGTTTCCCCATATTTCGGAGCAGTAGTAAAGGTAAGGGAGAAATAGACTGTTATAAAGAGTATTTTTTCTTCAAGAATGTTCTTAGTATGATACAAAATACCTATTGTTTTTGACAGTTTAGTCTGTACATAATTTATATGGTGCTTCCAATTGAGTTTTTCGTCAACAAGCAGTCCTAAAAATGTACATGCACCAACTTTCTCTATCTCAGTATTGCAAATCCGTATAATGCAGTCATTTCTACTCTCATTGAATAACATGTAATTTGTTTTGGCCACATTAAGGGATAATTTATTAACTGCAAA